CTTTTGTTGAAAACTGATTGTCCTAAAGTGTAAATGATTGTCGTTTCGAGACAACGAATTTTATTTCAACCAAAATGAAAATACATTTACAGTCAATGAGTGTCAAATGAAGGTATTGTTTATCTTTTGATGACTTTGAATGTTAATACATATGTAAATGTTATTCTTGAACGTTCCTTACGCTCAAATGAAGGTCATATTGGTGTTAATGAGAGTTTATTAACCATAAAGAAAGAAATTTGGACACAAATGAATGTTTATTTTCTATAAATGAACAGCAAAAGGTGTATATGTACTGATCCGTTAATAAGGAATTATGGCTGACGATAAAAAATGTCGGTGCCTTCGATCGGTAGAGCATATTTTTTTGATATTTGCAGGTAAACGGGTAGACTTGAAAAACAACTACAATCGATTTTTGACACATCTACGAAAGCTGATTAAACTATCATTTACATAGCGTCTACCAACGACACCTGATCTTGAAGGTATTGACCAAGCGTTTACGCAATATTCGTGTCCTTTGAATGAAATTCTTACCGAATTTTCTAAATGGAAGAAGGGAGTCGACAATTCTTGTAATAACCATTGCCCCGACGTTAGCGAGTGGGCGAGAATACTAGTTCTGCAATTTACGTTGGTGCAAAAAATTGCGTTTTGTTTCTGCGACAGTTTATATGTACTGATCGGTTAATAAGGAACTATGGCTGACGATAAAAATTTCGGTACCTTGCATCGGTAGCGCATATTTTTTTTATATTTGCAGGTAAACGAGTAGATTTAAAAAACAAATACAATCTATTTTTTACACATCTACGAATGTTGATTAAACTACCATTTACATATATAGCCTCTACAATTTAAACCTACTCACTGGCGTTTTTGGTAACCAGACGCTAACTCTATTCAGCCTTGGGACTTCTCAGGTGACCATCAACTTTACACGAATGAAAATATCGAAGCAATGGACTCCAAACTTGGTCACATTTTTGATCTTTATCTGGGAACAACTTGGTGCAAATTGGTAGGATAGCTTAAGGAACTTGATCTTGTCAGGGAAACCTTATTTTGACTGGCATGTTTGTCATTTTTTGCATTTTCCTGTTTTTAATGAAAAAATTACACTTTTGTTGTGGTAACAGTTACTTTTAATGACAACTCAAGCTTTTTTCGTAATGCCATGATTTGATTGGCTATCCTGAATTCTCGAGAAAAGTTTGTCAACAGTGATAAGACAGCTCTAGAAAGCTTGGATTACTCCATTGTTAGTCAAATAAAACGTTCTTTTTTAAGTCGCTTCCGTTCGTCGGGTTTGTTTGCCTTCTGCATAGGTCGTTTGTAAACATCAACATGCTACGACATATTTTGTATCTTACTTAACAGTCGCGAGAACGTTTGCACGAAGCAGTTCCTGTTGTCAACTTATCACATGCTCTTTGTCTCTGGGAAAGTTAGAAAACTCTGTTGACTTTGTTGCTTTCTAAAGTTAGTCAATGAAATTTTGCACCTCCTTTTGCATAATGAGCTTGGGGCCAGGCAATGGCGGAGTTAAAAAAAGAAACACGGAAATGAAACAACTGTTATGGTTGGTCTTCCACGGCTGCTAGCCATATTTTGTTTAAATAGACCATTTTCGTATTCTCAGTCTTCTCGATATTGGACCGGAACTAACTTACAACTGAGGCCAATGCGGGGAGTCTTTTCAAATGCAAATGATCTCTTTTTGACCAGTCCAAAACCGAGAATACAAAAATGGTCTAATAGACCATTTTCGTATTCTCCGTAAAGACACCAGTATAATGTAATGCATTCAATACATTTTACGGTTCTTCTGATCTACAGTATTTGTTTACGTTAAGAAGATGATAGAAAAGCTTGATTAAGAGGAATTTCTCTTCTCAAGTGGAATACCCCATTGCCGTAGTACTCACGTCCGCGATCAAAATTTAAAGTTATGTCTTGTTATGGCTCTCGTTTTATTGTTTATGTTAATGTTGTTGTACATGTGTCTCCGGTAATAAAGTGGTGCAATGAGCGTTTGTCAGTTTACAAGGACATCCGTTTACTTTTCTTTGGATCCGTCTCCGGCAGGTGTCAGGTATATTTTTTATCCACTACGTATATAGTTTGAACCGATACGAAATTTTTAAATTCCCTCCGAGTACAACCTTAATCATAACCATTACAATTTTCTCAAATGTGATTGGTGCATAATTAATATAAACTGCTGTATTTTGCACTAATTAACCTGCAAAGTTGTAATCGGACAGTTG